TGTGTGTGTGTGTGTGTGTGTGTGTGTGTTTAAATGTAAAATTGTTATGGATGAGTCATCAAATGTATTCATATGTATTATTGTTTAATACACTATTAATATGGCAACACTTTCTGGGGTTTCCTTGTAAACTGAAACCTGGTTGCGTTGTCATTTTTATTTGGGAGAAACAGTTGCAGGCTATATATAAACACAACAGAAACAATACACCGACCCTCTGGGTGTTCTGAGAGCATTTGATTCTGCAGATAGCTTTGTTTACATCTTGTCTTTATGGAGATGACCTCTGGTCTCTTCCTTCATGGGATACAAATTAACATGTGAAGTGTAAACAGAAGACTCTGAGGCAGACTTGCACGATGTAGGATGGCGTCAGAAAACGCAGCGCCCGGATTTTAATATGCGACAGGAGAGGATGTGAGATGAAGGAAAAGAAGAAAAAAAGAGGAAAACAAAGAGGGAGTAGAGAGGAAAGGAAACAAGAATAATAGAAAGGAAAGGAGAAGAATGGAGAGGAGAGGAAAGAAAAGGAAATGAGAAGAGAGGAAACAAATAAGAAGAATGGAGAGGAAAGGAGTGGAACTGAGGGGAGGGTTAAGGAAAGGAAATGAGAGGAGAAACAAGTAAAGATTAGTGGAGAGGAAATAAACAAACAACAAACAGCTGTCCAAGTAGCTTCAGATGTCTTTATTTTCTTAACATTGCAACATTGTGTTGCTATCATGTATAAATTAAACACAAATTTAGGTGAACTGGGAAAAAAAGCCTCTCATAGAGCTCTTCAAACTTGGTACAGGAAATATCTGGGCCTATACACCTACTGACAACTGAATATAAATGACACAAACTGGGGACAGTATGAAAGCACTTTCAGGTAGAAAAACAAAGAACACGTTATGTGTTATTTATGGACACAAGAGAACACAGATATCAATATTCATGATAAGTTTGGTAATTGACATTGTAACCAGCCAAGCATTTACCAATGTATTTAAATATATAACAAAGTATAAATAAAGGGGATCATGATTGGACTGTAATCAGTTAGCTCTGGATCCATCTTAAGCACACAACTAAATGCAATGCTCATCACAAGATGAGCATTGCATTTACAACTACGACACACTACGACTCATCCTCTCTCCGGTTCATCTCTATAGATCCACTATAGGTGAAGAAGACGGCTTTTGCTCTCGGCAGGCAAACAGTTCTGCTTTGAGTTCAGAGGCTGTCGATTAAGTAAAGCTACAACATTAACAAAGCCGTGCCTAAAATGCAAAGGTGTGCCGTATCAATATTTGCTCATGCTCAGTGCTGAGCACACCTTCCTGATGTACCAACATCAAGAGATAAAGAGAGGGCTATGCCATTACTTTATGAGTAAATCGTTTAATTCCACAACTGATCCCTGATCATGACACTTTTAGATTCATTGCATAGCTTGGGCTTTTCTTATCAACTCTTCCTTAAAAGATCAGCAAACTTAAAATGTGCATTGTACCATGCCAGCTAGCATTACAGTGCATAAAGGCAACTAAAAAGCTGATAAACACATACGCACACATGCTTAAAGGGGCACTCCACCAATTGTACAGCTTGTAAAATAGTTGTATAATGTCTTCTTTGGAGCTGAAGAGAGCTTTCCTAAGGTGGTGTCTAAAATCACTGCCTTGATCACTTGTTTACTACTCCTTAGATAAAAACACTCAATAGTTGACTCTGTAGTGAGCAGTACATTTATAATTCGGAAACTTATGAATCATCGTCATTTTGCGTCATTGACAGCTGTAGAATCACACAATGATAATTTTCATATCTATTAAATGCGATGCATTGCATTATGTGATTGATAGACAGACAGTACATTTTCTTGCTCCACTTTTGGAACATTTAGGGCATTAAATAGTCCATAAATCACCTACTCTGAATTCAGACACATAGATATAATATAAAACAGCACAGAGTAAATTCAGTGCACTATATAATAAATAGTGATGTCTGAAAAATAATCCAAATTTGGAGTTTAAAAGATGTGGGTATATTAATCAATTAGGGAGGGTCTACACAGAAATACCCTATCAAGTTGTATTATGGGAAATATAAATATTATGGGATCCAGTGATTTGGGTTTTGCTTTTTTAGGATATCTTCTTCCCTGCTGCTCTCGTTTTCATTTGTCTGCAACAAGTTTTTTTTATGGACGTGACACAAAATTTTCGGAAAATGCCCCTTTAAAGACTGTAGCTTAAAAGCCATGACGGAAACAACAGCATCTAGCAGTATTTTGTTGTGAGAGAAGCATGCAAATGTGCAATCCATGTATGACCCTATCATGCAAAACCCAGAGGTGGTATGCACTCACACAGGACATGTGGTCAGACAGACAAAAACAAATAAGACAAACAACATTTCACAAAATGTTTCACAGCGAGGGTGTGAAAGTAATGTACAGTCGTGTATCTAATACCATGGGGTAAGGCCACAGGGTTTGGGATGTACAGAAGATAGTAAGGCTCTGATTTCCAGATCATCTCATTAAGAGCTTCTTGTTTTCAGTCTTGATTAGCAGCGGCAATGGAACCGCTGTGGTTCGGGACAAACGTGGTGTAAAGAGGGCCTCAAAGTTCACTGGGAGATAAGAAGTTGAGTTATACGAAAATTGTTTGGAGACTCGGGATAATCCACCCCGTCGCTGCTTCTTTTTCCTCCAAATTCTCTCCGACTTTTAGCTCATGAGCGCCATGGTGCTCTCAGGCTGGCCGCCAAAGAGCCCGGAGAAAAACTCCAGTGCGAGTCGCAGGTGAATGGGCACAAAGACATACGAGGTGTAGACCACCATGCCGATGACGGAGAAGAGGATGGAGTTGAAGATTGACTTTTCCCAGGGCTCCAGGACATAGATGCCGGTGATGAGCAGGTACTGGTAGTACAGCCAGGCCAGGTACTCCCTAAAGTTCTTGAAGTTCATCTTGCAAGCTGGACAGAAGGTAAAGAAAAAATAGTCTATGTTTATCAATAAGGAGGTGTGGAAGGGAATTAGGAGCACACCTTTGGCCCTCCAAACCCACAGCAGGCCTCATGGATCTAATAGGATTCATGTGCGTGGGACAGAGAAACACCCAAGAAATTAAATCCCGGGGTCCCACATGAATACATAACAGTCACCCTTGACACACATGCATGTGTTGTTATCACACACATGGGACACTTACAAATAGACCTATACGTTTCTGCTCCTGGAGGGTAATGAGCAACGGTTTCCACCATAGAACATGCACTTTAATAACAGAAGGACGAAATAACATTCCCTTGTTTTAAAGGTCTGTTTGCATGGGTTATGGTGTTTGTAATTAGTATATTAAATATTATAATATATTATAAGTTAAACCTTTTTTCAAATATCTGATTTAAAAATATAAATCTTTTGTTTATTTGAAGCTTTGCATAGCCGCAGGCATAAACAGATCCGCCACAATTGGGTAAGGGGCGGAGTCAACAGGTGCGCTGCACGAACAGGTGCACTCACCTCGAAAAACAGGAGAAGTCCCAAATAGCTTTACAGTCTACTCCACAGGATGCACACAAATTAACCTCCTTAACATAAATACCACAGTAAAGCTGTTGTACTGAAGTTACAACAACCAAAACACATATGTGAAGGCCTAGCGCCCTGTGATGACCAGCAGGATATTAATTAATTTAATTAATTTAATAAGTTCGGCCCAGAAAATATCAAAATAACTTAAAAAGTTAAATTCCTGTTATAAATGTATAATTAATAACTATTTCCACATAGCAATGCTACGTTTCATCACCATTCCTGTTAATTGACACTTTTTAACAGACACAATATTAGAGAGGGTATATCAGCTACTGAGCGCTCCCTGTAGCCTGCATTGTGTAGAACCGAATCCATATATTGAGACTCACCTAAGCAGCCGACGACAGATCCCTGGATATCTATACTGGTGGAGGTAATTACTGGCGCCCGCGTCCCGCTGCTGCTCCGCTGCTTTGTGTAAACCAGTTTGCCGCTGGCGTATATGTAGCATAATGACACCACACCCACTGGGCCTACTCGTGCTGACACTCACGGCTCACCTGGCTCACAGATCATGCAGGTGGAGTGACCGAGGACTATAACGTACAGGCCGGTGTGTGTGTTTGTGTGGGTGTGTGTTTGTGTGGGTGTGTGTGTTTACGCAGCTGAAAGAAAAACAGTCCTCGCATCAGAGGCACCGCAGCAGTCGGTGTCTAGGTTGCAGTGCTAAGTCAGCTGATTTCTTGTGCTTCATTTTTAAACTTGCTTCAGTCCGTGTCGCATCCTCGTGCGGATCTGTGCCACCATGCTGCAGCCCGACACTGCGCCGCAGTACCACCTCTGACGTAGCAGCAGCAGCAGGAGGAGGACGCTGGAAAAACGAGCCGAGACAGCGCAACCCTGGTATGCACTTAAACCGTAGCGATGTAAGTTCATAAACAGCATATATTGTGCAAATACGAGATCGTACACGGAACGTAAAAGACATTCCGACAGTTTAATATTCAGCTGCAGTCTTTGCACAGTTCAGTTACCTTAATAAACGATGCGTAACCGTTCGCCAACAGCCCTGCTGTGTTTACTTTAGGTAAATACACAAAAAGAAAATTCAACACGCTATAGACATCTGGATCCACTTTCATGATAACAATATTTTGTAGGCTGCAGTGTTTCAATAACGCTCTGTTCTTTTGTCTTCATACATCTAGTCGATGAGTTTGTGCATTTTGGAGACAGGCGCTGAATCTGTAACCGTATTACGCACCAACCACAGATTGACTAACGCGTTTGTCTTATAAAACCACCCAAAGTCTACATGCACACTCAGACACAAAACATGTATATATTTAGGCAAGCATGAAACAAGGGCTGAGAAAGCGTTAAACGTGAATAACCTGAACCTTAAACAAGGACCGCCAATAGAAGAAGAAAAAACGCACAACCCAAAAAAAGCCGAAAAAGTACTTCAAGTACAACTTGAGAAGTTGTCCCTTTTGTTTTAGGACAATCAGTTCGGGAAATCTTATCTCCTATCTGCTGAAGGTTTGCTGACATGCTCAATTCATGCACTTGACAGGACTTTGTATAATAGATGTGTAAACACGGGCAGTGCCACCTTGGTGCACGGGTTGCGTATGGATACACTGCGATTTTGTCTGCGTCACATGGATGAGGACTGGTTCATAATGCCAGAAATGTTGCATGAATAACATTTTCCCCTTGCAGAGATTTAATAGGCTAACTCTGTTTAGTATACATATTTACATAAACCATCCTGAAGTGCTCCGCTACATCCCAGATCCCAGAGGTCTTCTTATGCTGAGAGAAAATGGTTCTGTAATAGTAGAAATTAGGTCAGGGGGGCTTAGAGGCAAAAGCATTTGGGTAACAAGGGCTCAGTTTGTGCACCAGCAAAGGTGGCGAGAAAATCAGGTCAACAGGAGGTGGCTCAGAAAAAAAGAAGCAGCCCCATTCTTGGTTGGTGTTGCCCAAAAGCACACACACAAACACACAGAGGGGATTCACCTCATTCACTTTCCCAAGTAGATCTGATTACCATTAACAGCAAGCTCAGGTTTGTGAAAAACAAGACTGGGCCGCCGCCTCCTCCTCCTCTTCAAGTTCTAATGTGAGACAAGTGACACAGAATAATACAACCTGGGACACACACGTTCCTCCAGTGTCTTAGATCACCTAAAAGCTTCAAATCTGTAGTTCTGAACAGCCACGCCACTAATTTTATGTTAAAATGTATATATACTTTTCTCCCAAAGGGTTTTTAAGGCAAACTGCTTCACACAATGTACTCTCCACCTTTTGTTCTAATAGAGTCCTAGTATTCTGTTAGAACCGAGATATATGGGAAATTACAATTACTTTTCATAAGACTTTTTTGATATTGCTTATAAAATGCTTCTTTTTTTTTTTTTTTTTCTTACATAAAGAATTGTATGCAGTGCATTCAATTTGTATATTGTGTTCCGTTTAATCCGTACAAGAGCATGAAATACGAGGTGGTAATGTTACATATCAGACCATTTAAAATCTGCACATCATTTTAAAGTGTTTAGCCATTTCTTTACTCATTAGCATAAATCAATGTTACTTGTTCAAAAGCCCCTCATTTGACAGCTTCATTGTGAGAATGTTTCTGGGTGTAAAGTGTCCAAAATATAGAGTGGAATCTAGCACTGATGAAGTTCAGATGCGTGTCTGCGAGTACCTTTGGTGTACATTAAAATGTGACAGCTTGCAGTACACAACTGTTTACACACGAGCCATAAACAGGTGAGGACACTTCTTACTCAGAGCAGCCTCGATTTTCTAATTTGCATCTCCAGCTGCAGCCCATATCAGAGCACAGACGGCAGTCTCTCTGGCTGAAAAGGTGGTGAAGCTGGGTGAGTATTTTGAATAATATCCATGGTGGCAATAAGACACACCATTTACCAACACAACCTCTTCAGAAGCATTTCTTCTCTTTTGTTAGTGGCCCAAAGCTCCCTCTGGTGGATACACACAGCAGAGAACTTGACAATGAAAATCACTGGTCTCAATTCCATACTACCCGAGTCTACACAGGTGTTAAATAAGTAACAAAATAATTATGTATGCATTGATTTCTGAGTGTGCCGTTGATGCAAACTATCTTCTCTCAGTGCACAAAGGAGGAGTTGCTCAAAGCTGGTAAATTAAATGTGGACGGTGGCAAAACAGCAAAAATAAGTATTCAATCTTAGATTTTTTTTTTGTTAAGTTTAATTGGAAGCAGCTTTCATAAATTGCAGGTTATCTGACATCACAAATTTCTCTGACAATAAGTTACTGCATATAATTCATATGTAGTATGGATAAGGGACCCATCTAATGTCTTTTAAATCCCCCCCAAAAAATATTCATGAAAAGTGTGGATTAGGACAAATTCATTTTGATATAGTGAACTAGAAGCACTCAATTTCCACATCACTTCAAAATGTTAAATGACAAAGAGAGCACTTTAGAAGCACATTGGTTATCAGGTGGCACCATTATAACCCACCATGTTAACTGTCATTACATTACAGTCTGATGACACATTATTATTCAGTGGTGCACTCAGTCCTCAATCTGCTCTCAGTTCTGTGTGTAATTGTATCACTGTATTTGACAGATCAGCCGTCAGTGTCACACAGGAAGGATGGGAACCGGTTACTCCGTCATCATGTCGGCACCCTCTTCTCCTGTTGCATCTGTCAGGCTGAGCTCCTCCAGCATCTCCACCAGGGACACACATGGTGCTCCGTCATCCTCAGTGTCGCTCGCCGCTGGCATCTTGGACGCATCTGAAATTCAAAATCCACCTCTTTTCATTAACTGTCTAATACATCATCTATAATGAGCGTGTGTGACATTAGATCTATTGTCATCTTAAGCAGCCATGGAAACAAACATATTAACAGAAAGGCTGACGTGAAGTCTGCAGTGTGCAGCTGCTCACCTCTGTAGATGTTAACATTCTTCCTCAGAGCCTCATCCTCCTCCAGGTCCTCCAGGAAGTCCTGGTATTGTCTGAAGACCGAAAAACAAGTTACAGGAAAACCCACGTGGCACAACATTACAGGATACTTGGCATTCACATTTTACAATTATTCACTAACCTACCAAAACATCATATCTTTAGTCACCACTTAGGTTCCAATTGTTTCTCATTATTTTCTGGGAGAGGGACTTTCTGTGCCCAATTTCTCAGAGACTAAAAACATGTTTATTTAGGTATTCTCTAAGGACACGGTGTGCTAAATGGATGCCCTTCATTTTATAAAAGAGTATTTCATGAGAACTTCTTCAAGCATTAATTTAAGGATCATTCTGGGGATATTTTACATTTCTCAACATATCCCTTTAAAAGACCAAAGCCTGCATGATTTGAGTCTACTAACAGGTATTGCCAGTGTAGTTTCATTACTGTTCAGAAACTATTAAAAAACAAAATTGACCCACACTGTTGACTGCCATGTTTTATTATTAAACAGACACATGGCACTGTAATTTGAATTGAGTCAATCCAACACCGTTCTGCTGCTGTAGACACTCGAGCACCAAATATGCATCACTCCAAGTCTGAAAATACTAACAATAAATGCGCTACTTACTCCTGATTGAGTTACATTTGCTTAAAAAAAAAACCTACAGTGTCTAGCTGTTATAAGTCATTTATTTAGCCTTTTAAAAGTAGAATATCACAAGCCTTTAAAGATGACTAGTTAAACATCAAATATGCACACCAGACAACGCTTAAGAAAACAACAAATTCTTGACGCTTGAATTCACTTCAAGAGGAATCAGAAACTCGGTATGTCTCTCCTACCTCTCATCATCTGTGTCGTTGTCTTCCCGGTCTCTCACCATCTCATGCAGTTTCCAGTTCCTGCGCCTCACCCTCCTGCTGCGGTCGTAGCTCTTCTTGATCAGGACCTGAGAGGGTCCACATTCAGTTTGTACAAATTAAAACCACACAACAAACTTTTCTCATGTGATGGTATTTTTCCAAGGATGTGATCAAATCTACAGTCAGTATGTTAAATTGCCACTAGAGGACAGTGTTCAACAAGACGACAACAGCTACTCAAAGGGATCATGGAAGCCCTGGTTTGTTCACTGAGGAGTCTCACCACATCAGGAACGTGGTTTGGGTTCATCTTATTCAAGTATTCATCATTGACGTTGGAATTGGCAAAGTCAAATCTGTAATGGGAGAAGTGAATACGGCATAAATTGTAACGCTCCAAGCATGTGATCGGTCTTCACCGCCAACCCGACCAACATACTCGTACTCACCCCAGCACCAGGTCTCCGATGTTGAGCAGGTGGCCCAGGAATGTACGGCAGTGATACTGCTGACTGGTGTCCATCTCTGATGTTTTCTGCACCCACACCTCAGCCAGGGTGTGCTGTAACAAGCACACACACACGGGGGGAATATAAATGAAGTTTGAGTCACTAAAACAACATCTTGTTATTTTCCTCCAGTGTCTTCAGACAACTGCATCGATACTGGTGCAACATTCAGAGCAAACAGTGTCCCTACAAACCTCATCTCCTGCACCATCGAAACAAACACTCCCGTGGAGCACACCGTGTTCCTGTCGTCTTGGCCTGAATCCCGCATACAGACTCGGGGATAACGTAATGCTTCGCTATTGATTTTGCTTCCAAAAAGAAAAGCAATGTTCCTCCATAATGCAATCTGTTCTGCAACAACAACACACACACACAAACACGCCCTCACCTTATTGGACCTCACGCCCGCTCCAGCACCCAGCTTCTGGTTTCGGATGATGTCGGTGTCCATAACGATGAACTCCTCCAGCTGCCGCCGGTTAACGAGACTGTAGAAGGGGTTTCGCCAGTATGTGTTCCCGTCCACCTCGGCAACTAGTGAGTTAGAGATTATTCATGAGTTCATTACCGACAGTTCAGACAGAAAATGTGTGAGCACGAATGATATAGCACCATCTGTTGATGCATTAGATTGTTTTTAAACTTCAAACTTTAAGTTTCTTTATCTAAAAAAACACATGGGTCATAAAAGTAGCATGAATCTGTCAGTGTTTTTCTATCTGTACACACAGACAGAATGATGTGTTTCCGTCTATATTGCAAGTAAACTGAAGACGACAAACAGCGACGCAAATATTTTTAATACTCGAGTTAATTGCTTACAGCAGCCCAAATCTGCCAAACAGAGCTTTGCCTCGAGGCTGTCTCAGCTATTCAGCCTGCTCTAAAACTTTCTGCAACAAAAATAGCCTGCTCTTTGAAGAGTAATTAAAACCGTGCGAGACGCTTACAGAGTGTCAGAAATCTGCCGAGGAGCGTCTCAGCCTCTCACAAAATGAATGATTACACAGAGGAGGCACGTCGTCGCTAATTGTCAGCAGTCTTGTATTGATTACGAATCCCTCAAAATAATCTCATTCGGCTATGACGGCATGCACAAAATATCTTTGGATTTGTGTCTCGAGTTAGACGGCTGTGATGAACATGTGGTCAGCAGACGGGCATCGAAGCAGTGATTTGAGGGGGGGGGTTAATCGAGGTCCCGCCCCCACACACCCACCCGAGCCAATCACGAGCCGATTACAGCTACAGTTCATTAGCGTGAGCCACATAGCTACTATGTTAGCAGAAAGACCCAACAACTAACCCTAATATCTTTATAACTACATTTAGATTAAACTGACACGTTTTATTACACAGACACGTGATTGGGAAACTATTTTGATAATCATTTGACTGCTTTTATTTATCAAGCAGAAATGCCAAAAATGATCTGATGTGACTAGTAAACTGAATTTTTGACTGACGGTTGAACAAAACAAGTAATTTGAAGACAACGATTACAATTTCATGCCAAAACATTAAAAGAAAGTAATTTTCACATTAAAGATACTACGAGGAACTTTCATGTTGTGCTGGTATTGGCGGTCCCTGTGGACAAAAGCTGACGTGTTTCTGAGCTCATTGAACTGCAGCAGGGCCCCGACAGACGGCCCCCCATAGTCCTGGTTCTGGTTCTCTCATGCGGAGATCCGACTGCTGGTTGAAGTCGAACAAAGATATTCAGTTCGCAATGATTTAAAAGAGAGAAAAGCACTAAAGCTTGAATCAGAGAATGTTTGGATTTTTTCAGTGACAAATACCTTAAATAATGAATCAATGTTCTTGAATAACTTTCTGTTCATCTACTTGTTGTTTCAGCACCAGTCTTGTTAATGTTTTTGATTTTATTTATGATAAGCAAACAACGAGATGACGGTTTGTAAGCATGTCTACTCTCCCGTGTGTGCAAATTGAAGATGAGCTAAATCTTGGGGCTAAATTCCTCATTAGAGAGCACGGAAACCGTGGGAACTTCTGATGTCCGTGCATAGAGCTCACATTACTGAAGAAGTGAGTGTAGGAATTCAAACTACAACTCAGCTGACAACAACCAGACTTCAGACTGCAGCTGCATGAATATCTAGTCAGTCGGACCCGTGAAGAGACGCTGCTCCAGCAGTAGAAATACTCACTCTGCAGGGTGTTGGGATCGATGAGGTGGATGGTGCTGGTGACCCGGGCGCACACACAGACTTGACCCATGTTCCCCAGGCTCTGCGCCAGCTGCGGTGAAAGGCACACTACGTTGTCCTGACGAGACAAAACCAGACAACCTAAGGTCAAACTGAGGTCGAACAGAAAGTAAAAAGCACTTTGGACTCATGCTTTAGTAGTTAAGAAGCGTCTCTGTCTGAGACTTGGAATCTAGTCCAAGTTTAAACACAATGATCCAATTAGGCGGCAAAACGAGCAAATCTATTTTCTAATTTCTGTTTTCATTTGTTGAAAATGTTCCGCATGAAAAGTCAAAAACAAATGTAACATGAAAGATTCCTGGACAGCCTCAGCTTTCCATCTGCACATCATAAAGCAGCTTTCTAACAACATGAACTAACAGAGTGAAGATGTGACGTGTTAAGAAATAAGACAGCGCTGGCTCGTCTGTGGTGATGAGAGTATCTCAGCTCCACCAAGAGATCCTGAGTGAAACTAAATCCAAGTTAAATTAAAAACAAATAAAGCACTTTGCTGTGTACCTTGCAGACAGGTACGATCTCCATGGAGTAGGTGCTCTTATAGTTGAACGTGTTTGAATGGATGTCGTGAGAGATGAGGCGCAGGGATGTCTTTGACCTTTAAAACAGGAGAGAAAGTGTTGACTATTAAATTATTAGTATTACTATCAGACGTCATTCAGAGACAGCAGAGTTCACATTGTCACAGTTGGATAAATTATGACAATAACGGAGCAAAAATGTAAGAGAAGATGTTCCGCACACATTGAATAGGTTTGTGTAGTCTAACTCACCTTATGTGACTGAGTTTGTGATGTTTGAGGTTTTGTAAAAACTTTTAACGAACACAATGAAGCACACAGATAAAATAAACTGTTTTCTAACAGAGCTTCTTTATTAGGACATTTATTCCATTCAACCAACATTTTGATAAACGCCTACTAGCTAGTTGTTTTTCTGTGACATTGCCACATTTGCTCATAAATGTCTGGATTGTTGGGTGAAGACTGAAAGCAGGCAGTCAGAATCATTTTGAATGCTCTTGTGATTAGGATTTAAATAAAGGGGGAATGATGGTCCAATACGGAGACTCACAAAGACAATGTTTTCATAGGCAGAGATTTGGGCATTTCTAACCTGCAGGGCACGGTGCACTGGAGGAAGTCCACCATCTTCTGAGCGTGCTGCCTGGTGCTATAGTAGAAATCAATCCCATCTGAGAGAGAAGAGAAACACCATCAAACACCTCCACCACGGAATTCAGCACAGGCGCGCCTCACAGGTCATTCCCATTGCAGAACACACACACAACACACAATAGAGCAGCTGACGACGGGAGAAAATATACCAGCCACATGTCGAAACCTTCATAAAGCTTTTAAAGTTGTACCGAGATATGAAGATGAAAAACCCCACTTCACAATCTGGTCCAAGAGCAGAGAGAGCTGCTGCTGAGCCTTCACTCAATGCACACGCGTGTGTGTGTGTGTGTGTGTGTGTGTGTGTGTGTGTGTGTGTGTGTGTGTGTGTGCGCGTAAGATGGCGTCTCTAAATAGGGTATAATTTTTTTGCATTGTAGGAATCTGGTATGGCATGCCTGCTCCGATTACAGCGCGCTGATTAGATGCACAACACATGTCTTCCTCTGAGACTCACACCAGGACAGCTGTATGGACTGATTGGCACCAGAGATATGCATGCACGGCTTGCTGTCTGGTACGAGGTAATTAACATTCAACACATTATGTTCTGCTCAGTTCTACTTCACATTAGTTGCACTGGTGACGAATGAGACAAGTCTCCCACTTTTCAGTGTAATTTGGTTGGAGACCCTAAGGAATATAGCAAGCCCTCCCTTTAATATGTATACTAACATACATGAACAAATGAAATGTATACAATCATATGTCATTGACCCACCATTGACTTCTTTGATGTTGAGGGCATTCTTGTGGAGTTTGTGCTTGAGGATCAGCTGCTCTAGATAGTAGAATGTCTTTTTATGAACAGTCTGTAAAAATAAATAGATTGTTCAGCATCATCATCATTTTCATACAGATCCTTCCAGCCACCACTTTTGACCTTTCAGAAATGCACTCAAGTTAAGAACTATAGCGGTATTGATATTTATAGTTCCACTTAAAAGTATAGTTGTTAAGACACATCCTGGTGGCAAAGCACTGCTGGTAAACAAGTGAGAACAAGTAGGCCGTTCAGCACTTTTGTTTGCTGCCGATTCCTAACTTCCTGTATTGCTTCACAGTAAAAGCTTTTCAGTGAAGGGACTTTGGCTTTTATTGTGAAGTATATGCTGAATGGGTCAAGTTATATCAGCAGCGGGAGTATCTTCGTGAGCTTATTTTAACGTAGCTAAGTAGCAAAAGAGGATGAAGGTTTTAACCTATAACTGAACAGAATTTGCCGTTTCTGAGCAATCATCTCATAAGTACCCAGTCTCTGTAGCACTGCAGCTACGCTAAGTTTACCTCCACACATCAGCGATGAAAGATAAAGTACAACCCGAGGATTTAATGTTGAAATTCCTGCTAAATAAACAAGGTTTTTTCTTTACATAAAACTGACACAGAGCTTCAGATTTTAACATGTAATTGCCAAATTAACACAAAATAACAGGATTGCGAAAAGAAAGAGTAAACAGAGTACAGTACAGTGAATGAGAGGAACCAAAATAAACACATTGTTATGAGAGTGAAATACAGGATCACCATTAAAGGGTGCAGAAGCAGATGCATGCATGTTTCCAGCCCGGAGCATGGGAGATATAGATATATATATATAAGATATGTCATTAAACCAGACTCCTACCTTCTGCCTAACTTGAACCACAGCCTTCCAGAAGTCCTTGGCTTCCACACGGTGGCAGTCGTCACACATCTGGTACTGGATGACAAACTCGACCACAAACACCTGCTGTAGGATAGCGCCATTCATCACCTGAAGAGGTAAAGAAAGCAAAAAGTTACATCTTCTCAAACTGTTTGGCAAACAGCGACAAAAACTCTGCACATACAGTCATTTCAGAGCCATTTAGATACATCTGACCAGTGGGAGACAGCTTCATACAGACCCTACAACAGCAGAAACAATAGAGTTGGCATTGAAAGGCACAGGACTCAGGTTCTCACTAAAGGTCAACGAGATGAGATGGCAGCCACTGGCAAACTCACTTCTCTCAAACACACAGACATCCCTCAGTCTAAAACAGACAACTCACAGAAATTAAAAACACACTAAATTCAAACATAAACTGCGCTTGTGGCCAAAAAAAACACGTTGCCTCTTTCAGGTCAGTTTTAATCCGTTAGTTTAAATGTCTCTCTCCCACACCGTCTTCTTACCTCTTTCTGGATGGTCACTTTCAGCTTAATCCTTTTGGAGTGGGGCTCTGTCCACAGGAAGCCAGCGTCAATGAGACGCACCTGTGAGGAGAGAGTTGAATCCATGAAGTACATGAGCGGGACACAATATTATAATAATGCAATCCACGATAAAAGAATACTAGAAACGTGAAGATTACAATGTTTATTTGTTTGTTTGAACTGTTGAGGCCATAATGTCTCATATTGTATAAGGCAGCATTATATTTTAAGAGGCTATGATAAAATGAGTCCAAATTTCCAAATAAGCTAAATTTAATTACATTAATATATAATAAGTAAGCTCAGTAACAAGATGGGGCTGAAAGCATGAAGATAGAAAAATAAGGGACGGGACAGGTTACACACTCGACTATTTACCTGCAATGTTCATTTACTTTTTCTGTGTCTTTTTTGTGAGTGAAAATATGCTAGTGTGTTTGTGAAGTTTCGTGAGGATCACACTTACTTTGGTCATAGAGCTCTTAATTTTTTTCAGGCAAAGAGCCAGCAGCTCCCTGGACTCCAGAGCACATTTCATCCAGGTGGCTGGAGGCTGCAAGTACCTGCATGAAAGAGGAAGGTGTTCAACTTTCCCAACAAAATTTTTCAAACATTTTTTCTATTTTTACTTGTAAATGTTTTCTATAGAGGGACACAATGATTTAATCTTTGTATCATGTTAAGAAAAAGCATGGTTGATTTCAGCTTGTTGTTGAAGCAATGAAACAAACCTTTCACACTGCTTGCAGAAGTTCACTGTGACTTGCTTGGGGATCCCCTCTGAGATATCCACCTGAGTACGCAGGCAGGCCACACACATGTTGGCTGGGTTGGGAGGAATGGGGACACCACAGGTACAACACAGGCTGGGGGGGAGAGAGACAACATTGGTAAAGATCGGTGAAATTTTACACCTCATACATGTACGATACATTACCGCTGACTATTTCTCTAAGCATAACTTAGTTTATTGTACTATCAGTTATTGACTTCTGTTCACTTTAACATGCTGTGCTAGTTAACAGTCAGACATTTAAACTGTACATGAGATCATGAATCATAGAAATGACCATTTAGATTTCTATGTTTTTGTCAAAACTACATAAACATTAACATGAGGTTACTCTAAACAGCAGTGTGAACAAAGCTTCTAACAAAACTCTGGAAACGTTGGCTTAATTTTAGACTTTCAATGAAAAGATAACATGCAAGGTTTTGTTATTCATAGCTTGTCAATGCACTATTGTGCAGCGACTGTTTGTTGTTTACCAATAATCAGTCATTTCAACAGTAACACAGAGGGTATATGTGTAATCTTGAAAAACAAAAATGACTGTTTACTATAATAAATGACCAATTTTCCAGTCTACTTCAGCACAAAATAAGAATTGATTATTAATCACACACACTTGCAGACTTAAAGTGAACAGAGAAATGTTAATAGTTACAGGTGTGTTTCCTTCTACGACATGTCAACATGCCATACTTGAGGAAGGTTTATGCCAGGACTCTGACAATAAAAAGCATTCGAGGATATTAATACTATTTGTTCACTTACATATTCCCCTGGATGGTTGTGGTAGGAGCTTGAATGTACTCCATCGTCAACTTGACAGGTCAGTGTATGTCAGCGGACCTTTATGAACTCTGAGGACAAAAACGTGACAGATTTAACTGCCACAGCTTTGGCAGAACACGCCTGCTAGAGAACAGCCAACGTTAGCTGGTAGCAAGCACAGAGCATCGACTACTGACATTATTTTAACAGCAAGCAAATAACACAATATAAAGGTTTTCTTGTACACATTCAGAAACAAGTAAACAAAGACTGCTAGATAATTATAAGGGGACGGTGCAGGCTATGTTAGCTAGCTGCTAGCTGATGGTCTACGTTCAGTATCAGACAGTTAGCATTAAAGGCTAAAATGTTAGTTTTTACGAGTGATTTTGAAAGATATTCATGAATAAACAAGAACACAATGTCAACTAAAAGTATTCGACAACTACAACTGGCACAAGCGAGTGATGACATAACTTACGGGGGTTATTTCGACGTGAAATCCACAGCACAGTTGAAAATAAAGTCGTCCACGTTTTCCCCACCGAGGACCAAGGAAGGAGCGGTGACGTCATGCAATACGCAAGGACCCCAGGCCGGTCTTTGCTTGCCTGAATAAAATTATTCTTATTTAGATAAATAAATCTTTCCCTGTTGCAACATAATAAGGATAGGCCTTAAAAAATGTATGAAGCTAAATACTGTATATAACTTAAGACTACTGTGCAGGCTAGGCCAGCAAAGTGAAAAAACAACTTAAATATTTTCGAGAAATTTATACAATATTACACCATTTAACCTTAACTTGGACATCAACAAAGAAACAGAAAAAAGAATGTAAGATTCCACATACTTTATTTTCAAGTAAACACACTGCCCGCATTTGCAAATCATTTCAACAACAATATCATAGTAAGGAGAGTCTAACATTTATTTGACTGAATTAATTATATTTTCTTTAGGATATTTTGTTTGACTTAACAGAGTTACTGTCCACAGCATTTGATCATATTTTGTGACCCCTCACAATTCAGAACACAGATCAGATGACCTATACCTATAAACAAAACCTGAATTGCATATTTCCCCCCCTAAACCATGAAATATCCAATCTCAAACAGTCTCCGTATTGTGGCGCAATCTCCTCATTGGAACAAATATTTGTTCACAGTGAGGACTCAACCAAATAGTGACATGATACTATGGGTCACTCTCCAGGGCAGTGAAAGAAAATACAGCTACAATTAAAACAGAATGGGAGAATGACTTTCATGTTGAAATTGAAGATAAAGACTCGGATGATATGGGGCTCAACCAATTTGGCTGTCATATCACTAATAGAACAAAGGAACGACACTTTAAGATAAATAATAGACTGCATATTACCCTAGTGACACATTTCAACTCAGCCAGATCTGTCAATGTTTTGTAATAAGTGCAAGTTTACAGAAGGATTACATGTTCACTATTTACTACAATGTGTATATTCACAAATCAATAATAATAATAACTTTATTTATTTATATAGCACCTTTAAAAACAGAAATGAAGCAGAAAAGCGATGATATCACATAAAAGCCAGTCTGTGAAAATGTGTTTTAAGAAGTGATTTAAAAGAGATTACTGATTCTGCGAGCCTCATCTCCTCAGGCAGCTCGTTCCAAAGCCAAGGGGCCCTGATGGCAAAGGCACGGTCACCTTTAGTTTTCAGCCTTGACTTTGAAACAGCCAGAAGGGCCCCACCTGAGGATCTAAGGCTGCGAGCTGGCTCATAGGGGGTCAACATTTCCTCTTTGGGGCCAAACCCATACGTGCTTTAAAAGTGATCAGTAAAATCTTAAAATCTATTCTAAAATGAACAGGGAGCCAGTGGAGAGAAGCCAGGATTGGGGGGATGTGACATACTTGTTCAAACAGTGAACATTTCTCATTCATCATGCATTCTTGGTATAGATAATCCCCGAAGTATTCCTCCTAATTCATTAAAACTCCTCTTCTGTGTTAGGAGAAGCATTTTTTTTTTAAAGTGGGTGTCATAGGGCAAAAATTAGCTGCTGGACCCTATTAATCCCTTCCCCTAATAACAGATAATGTACTCTGATGGTGGTATATTACATGAAACCAGTTGCTGTGTGATGTTTTGATTACACACAAAATATTTTGGATTATGCACCATGTAAGCACAAAACTATCTGAAATAATTAGGAATTGAAGACTTATAATGACACAAGGACTCTTTGTCATGTTAGTCAATATCGAGCTTTAACTGAGCTTATATTGAATATGCAAAAGGAAATTGGCAAAACAAGGCCCTGTTAGAATGAATCAATCCTTCGTTTGTGAGCACACCTGCAATGGCAGCTCTCTGGATGCATTCAAGTACTATCGGAAATATCTAAACTTACAACGCACATTAACGATCATGAATAAGCAGGCCGAGGAACAGTGAAAGGAAACGTGGGAACTTAACAGCTACACTACTGAGGTGTGAGTATTAATGGGCAATATGCATACAGGCCATATTGAAAATTAAATGGTGAAATGTTGTCATCTTTTCATGGACATTTTATTTAAATACTGCTTTATGCAATTTTGGTAAAAAAAAAAAAAAAAAAGAAGTGCTCTTTTAGAACTACCTGAAAACTAACTGAACTGAATTCAGTTTGGGGATTTCATCATTTCAGTTCAAGACCTATGGGGCAGTATTTTCGTGAATGTTTTGATTAAATTAAACCACAGATGCTGGAACTCTGTTTCCACTTCTTCAACTGTTGTGTTGGTGGGAAGGGCTCAACATTGTAATTTATTAAATGTCAGTGAAATGATATATTGATTGTATGATCTCAATATGTTATCATTCAACAAGTTTTCCAATTTCCAATTCCAAGCGATTCCAATTTTTATTTGGATTTTTATCGTGTTTTTTAATGTTGTTCTAATGTCTCTATAATCCAAGCACTTTGTTAGTGCTCTGCAAATAAAGTTGCCATGACTTACACATTTCTGTACTCAAATACATTACTATGTGCAAGATATAATTCTAAGTTTTAAGAAGAATTTGGACCAATGTTATGTGGAGCAGTGGAACTCACTTATACTATGGATGATAATGTGTACTATACTACCCAGCCTTATTTGTGGGTACTTTGTGAAGTTTTAAAAGCCAAACTGACAGAATCGATCAATAGCGATTACCCACACTGGCTCCCCTGGATCTCTGACTCGTTTGAGGGACATTACGAGCTGCACCTGAAGGCAGCACCCTTGTTTAGTCAGTCAGCAGCAAAGAGTCGCAGCCAGTGTGGCAGCTGGGAATGTTGGGGGCTTCAACGCGGACCGCTATTTTCAGGACTGGGAACAAGTAGCGGGGCTGACCTGGAAGAGACTCTGCCCACGGCTCTCATCTAGACAGACACACACTTTGCAATCAAAAACCGGCGACCTGTGATTTGTGTCCCCAGGGGGGGGGTTTGAAGTCGGTGGTCTGCATCAGATGGTCCACGGACAGCCGGTGGGGGCTCACTGCGGGGCTGCGTGCTAGAGGGGAACCAGCAGCCGGAGCATCGGGTTTGTTTTCCCGGTCTGAGTGCGTACGCGTACACCGTACCTCCTCCTTTAAGTGTCACTCGGTCAGTCAGTGATTCGTGTCCGGGGTGTGAAACGCTCGGTTTAAATGTTTCACCGCCACCAAGCCACTCACACCAACGACGATGGACTGAAATCTGCGGCGGCGGCGAGCGACACACAACCTGCCGCGATTTCCTGCATGTAAATAAATGATAGAGGATACGATGACCCTGCTGTCTCTGTTAGGTCGGATCATGCGCTATTTTCTGCTCAGACCGGAGACCTTGTTCCTGCTGTGCATCAGCCTGGCTCTGTGGAGTTACTTCTTCCACACGGACGAAGTGAAGACCATCGTCAAGTCCAGCCGGGATGCGGTCAAGATGGTCAAGGGGAAAGTGGCGGAGATGATGCAGAACGAGCGGTTCGGCGGGCTGGACGTCCTGGACGCGGAGTTCTCCAAGACCTGGGAGTTCAAGAGCAACAGCGTGGCCGTGTACTCCATCCAAGGCCGGCGAGACCACATGGAGGACAGGTTCGAGGTGCTCACCGACGTGGTCAACCAGAGTCACCCGTCTATATTTGGGATTTTTGATGGCCACGGAGGAGAGGTGAGTACAAAGAGGAAAATGAAAGGCAAAATCTCGTCTTTGTCTGTCTATGTGTCTCCTCCAGTCCACGTTACTCAGTCGCTCTGTGTCTCCAACAAAATACATGTGTGTGTGTGTGGGTACTCAAGGGCCCCAAACTGAGCTGTAGGGGCCCCAAAGTGTGTGGGCTAAGATGCCTTAAGTGATCTCCAAGTGTGTAGGCTATTGATCAGTGTTTTGTATGTATCCAAGCCCTTCTGGTTCACTGTCGACAATGTATTAAATCCACAAGTGGCGCAAGCCCAAAACTGTTAAGATGAAAGTATGCTTAGGACATCAACTATTATATTTATAAATAGCTTAATCAAATGTTGAAAATGATATAGATGCCCATCAAAAGTGATCAGAGTTGAATTACACCTGCTTGTTTTAACTCTTCAGAGGGAAAGGTTGTGTCAGCTGATGAATGAGTGATCTGATAACTGATTTATTACATTAGATGAATCGGTTGATTCATTATTATAACATAAGATTAATGTGGGACGTTGTGATCAAGTTGCAGGGCCGAAACAAAAAAGCAAACATGAGCTGCGGGGCCCCTGTTACAGTAACTCTCCATATTGTTTAAACAATGTGTACATTTTCCTCTGCTGGACCTGCCCCCAGATTTGCTGTATGGTTCTTTGATCAAGCACAAATGAATTCAGGAATATGCAACATAAGCACAAAACTGAGATAATGAAGGTCTTCATTTTGGCACAAAGACCCTTTTTACAAGACGGGGCCTCAAAGTTGAGTATTAAAGCAGGAGCCACTTTAAGTCCCTTAGTTGATATTGTGTGTTAGTTGTTAGTGCACATATAAGTTTTCAGTTGATTTAAGCAATTGGCAACGCAGCCTTGGGCATTTGTCAAGCATTTGTGGATAATTGGAGCCGGGGCCCATCCTCAACTGTGTGTAGGATCCCACAATTCCTTGCTTACAGCCCTGCACACGCATTCACCCACACTTAATCTGTTCTCTTCCAAAAAGGCAAGGAAACTGCATCTTGTCTATTTACAGCTTAAAATCCAGCCAAAAATATCCATGTCTCATGTTTTTCTGTCCAAAACAACATTTTAGGACACAGATAGCACAGGCCCCATGGTCTAACATGATTAGAGCTGGAAGGAGGAGGATGAACTCAAACCGGTGTGCTTCAGAGCGCATATATACCGCCGGCTGAGCTCAATATGAGCAAAGCAAAACTGTCTACCCCCTTTTTGCTTTCGTCAAAAGAATCTGATGAATTATCTCATGTTGTTTTTTGACACAAATGTGACAAAACGACCCTTGAAAAGAAAATAAATGTCGGTTAAAGGGACAAAGAACATTTGAGATGACGCCCCAGTTTGACGAGAACATAAAAACACTGATTCATCATGAAGTCGTGGTATGCTTGAACCCTGCATTGTTTCTCAGGACAGTATTTATGCGACAGAGCTGCTCAGAAAAAAACACAAAGTGACAGAGTAAACCATTTTCCTTTGTCTGTTTTCTTCTCGTCTCTCCTCTTTATACTTCAGCTCGTACATTAAACATGAATCATTTTGTGATCAGCCTGTTCTGGTTTGCAGAGGAGCTCCGTGCTGTTTTTAGGGCCGACATCAGCGACTGTCTTCAGTTTGACCGCTGTGGTCGGATTGAGGCTGAACAATAACATGCTAAAAAAAGGCATAGAGGATAAATGTTCTTTTAGGGGAAATTAAATTTAAGGCCTTGTCGCTGACTGCTGCAGCTTTTGACCAAAAGTGGTCATTGGATTATTTTCCCCCCGCTGGCTCTCTTTCCTCGTGCTTCTTCTCTCTGTGGAGTTCCTTTTTAGAGACCAGTGATCTAACCTGTGAGCGCTGCTACAGCTGTACCACACACACGGTTAAGAGACGAGAATAAATAAATGGGGAATAGGAGATATATGTTTGTGTATCTGACAGAAAAAGGAGAAAACGAGTGGGAGAGCATCTACTGTATGGTGAGAGTAAGAGCAAGAAGAGACGGTTCAGATTCGCCCATGTAGGCGACGAGCTGTTTTATCACTGCATGTCCATGGGCAACAATTTGGTCTGTTTTCATTCCCACGCCCTCTTTTGAAGTGTGTGAAATGGTTGCCAGACAGCAGCCTTCAGAAACAACTTCTTCTCTTTAGCGAATCTAGATTTCTTTATTTATTTGTTAGCCAGGGGGGGCATTGGATACAGCAGAGGGATGCTGTGTGGCACAAGGCAACACCAGGAACAATGGCTGCCTCAGCTGGCTAATTAGTGAGGTGTCAGCCGCTTCCATTTCTCCACACACACACACACACACACACACACACACACACACACACTCTCTGCTCATCCAAAGCATATAGACATTCATTAAATAAATGTCAGACTTGTGTCACCATCTATCTAGCATCCAAGACTGCAGCATCAACAGGTCTTTGACACTGTTTACAAAGCCTGTAATGGACAGAAATGTAATTTCCACGTGAGTGTGCCAACTAATTATAGATTCAACATAAACATCAAGAGAAGAGGTAGTGGATCCAAATGTAATTAGGTCTTCAACTAACTCATTTTTTCCTATTGAGTAATCTGATTATTCCCTCAAGTAATCAATTTGTTGTTTTCTCCATACAATGGTGAAAAAGCTCAACGTGACATCTTCAAAATGCTAGTTGTTTTTTTTTGCCTTCTTCTTTGTTATGCCATTGTCTCACACACAGAGTTATTGTAAATGCAGGTTATAAATGGAGCTTTTGCAAGCTAGGAATCTCGGCACCTGACGTAATCACTGTATAATTAGTACTGACTGGCAAAGCAATCACACGCTGTGAAAATGATGTAGGTATGGGATGTACAAAATCACCCTCAATGCATCTTTAATGATAGACCTTTTGTGTGGTTTTAGATTTAGTGAGACATTTTTTAGAAACACGCTTATATGATTTCTTGCCAATAAATGGATTAGGAGATTGATACCAATCTCATGTCTGTGCATCCATTACGGAGCTGGAGCTGCGTGTACTGATTAAACAAATATGGTATAACAATTAGTATGTAGTATGTATTTTTTCACTTTTGAAAGGCAGGCTAGCTATTTCCCCTGCTTCGAGTCGTTGGCCTAAAATAAGATAATCTCCACCTGGCTCTAGCTGTGTACTTGGAATGCAAACACGAGAGTGCTATCGAGCTCCTCGTCTCTCTCTTCAAGACAGCGAATGCATGTACCTCTCAACATTTCCATCTACGCCGAACTGTGACAATCTGCGTTTGCAGCATAGTGATTTTAATCCTGTGATTCCAGGATGCGAGTCCAGGATGTTGGGAGGATGGAAAGATAAGGAAGCCATTCAGTTTATTACCAGATACATCTTCAGTCAATGCTAAATACCATGTGGAAATATATCTTTCTCTATGTCTCCACACACCACTCGCACACAACAACCAAATTCAATTTTCACGTGTGCAAAAAAATCAGTGTTTAACGTGAGCACGTCCATCGGCGGTGTCGTATTGGATGATGGCTCGGAGAGGGGATTATCTGTTAAATGGAGATTGATTTTTAGGTGGACACATGGGAATAACCTGCATGAAAGCGATAACCCTGCGCTCTCCATCCATACAACAGCAACAATGCACCATTTCTTTCCCCACACTGGCATATAGAGAGTCAACGGCACGCTGCTCCTCCCTGCCTCGCTGTCAGGTTGTGGCTTCAGGCGCTGCAAAATTACCTTAACTGTTACTGTAGAGTACAGAGAAGACGTTCACAACAAGGCTGTTTAACTTGAGTGCGGGGGCTGCTTCTCTCTGTCTGTTTTGCCATCCTATTAGCTTTTGTTCTGTTTTCTTTTTCTATCACGGCTCACTCTTTCATGTAGTTTCGATCTGTGTTGTTTGTTTGTGAGTGGGTTGTGATAGATATGTAGTTTATAGCTGTGTAGGAGGCGGTTGTAGACTGCAGAGTAAAGAAGTAGGAGAAAAAACGCTGAAAACACAGCGACGATGACCATTTTTTGGAGGGATCCTCTCTGTCTTCATTCAGCTCTTAGCTTGTCCTTTGTCCACCTTTGCTTTATTTTAAGGCTGAATGGCGTTTCATTTTCAACTTCATTATTCATTTCTTGAAATGAACAGTAGACGAGACTTTTGAGAGCAATTGAAGCAGTGGTGCAGCATCGTTCACCTTCTTAGCCACTCCACAATGAAGGACATGTTGTAGTCAGAGAGGCTGTTGTTTGGATTTTAGATATTTTAATGTGTTCGTGTGCGTGTTTACTCCAGGAGCATCGGGGTGTGTTACGTTTATATACTAAGCAGTTTGAATTCCGCCAGAGTTCGCTCTCACTGGAGTGATGAAAGAGAGAGCCGGCATGTGACTAATTGCACTGTTGGCATTACAGGATTAGAGAGCAAACGAAGGGAGGGAGTCCGTGAAGACCAAGGACAGCAGTGTGTGTGAGTGCATGAATATTTATGTTTGCTCTGCTTCTCCTTCATGGACGTTGAGGACGCACACGGAGATGAGAGGAGCAGTTCGGTGTTGTCTGGTCTTCCAGGGAGAGACGACTTCACTGTGAGAGGCTGAAACGCCAAAGGCTTATCAGAACCAGGCACCTGCGTCACACTGCTTCACATCACGTCGTCAATCAGTGCCCTTAGCAAGTTTATAAAATAGACTTATCAGGCACTCATTTTGAAATAAACTAAATAAATTACATTTTTAGAATTGTTAAAGTGACTATAATCAATATTTTTATATGGACAATGGATCACGTGACTACTTATATGTGAAGGGACTTTTTGGTAGTGATGAACCAACAGAATTATCACATGAATGTGCAGTTTCCTGCACCAACTACTGGTGAACATAGTGGAGCATTTAGCACCTAAAGAGACCGATATTTCCCTCAGGTGCTGGTGGAGACCAAAACGGAGCTAAAATGAGGGTGAATATAGGACCTAAGTTCATCAGGTGGTCACAAGGATGACTCC